ACGCGTACTTATTTAGTGTGTAGCAGAGCCGGCTCAGGCACCTTGCCCGGAGCTCCTTTACACGTGCGAACCACCTGAACAGCGTTTGCTGGACCTAGTACAGCTTGGGCGGCGTAAGACCCTCGCCCGGCTCTATTAGGCAGCTCTGCACGACGGTGCCCGGGAGGCCTTGGAGGTTGCCGACTTCGCCAGGTATGCCAAACGCGGCGGCCCGGAAGCACGCAACTGTGTCTAGCGTCGGCAGGTGTATAGCCAACTGCTTAAGCCTCTACGCCCCGGTCACCATCAACGCCCTCTACTCGAGCTCGCAAGCTCTGACCGGCCCCACAGGCCGGCCATAGCTTAGCACCATCTCGAGCTCCTAGTAGGCGAACTACAGTAGCAGGCGACCTTGGTGGTGGTTAGGGAACATAGCGTGGTCCAGCGGCAGCTGAACGGTGAGGAACTCGGAGGCAACGTCGTCTCGGCTAGGGAATACGAAGAGGGTATGACCTCGTTCGAAGCCCAGGCGGGCTCTGAAGTTTGCTTACTCGCGGTCTTATAGGAGTAGGCTGCGCTAGTTGAAGCTTCGCGCGCGAGCGTGGAGGCTCAACAGGTTGTAGAGTTACCCTTACCGATGAGCGGGAGAGGCCTGGAAGCGACATCATCGGCCTCGGCGGCGGACGCCGGGGCCACATGGAACTCCTTCCGCTAGCCCCCATTCCTAGGCCTGTAGCCTTAACAGGAAGAGGAGTGGGCCCCCGAACACTAGTCCCGCGGCCCTGTCTCGCAGGCCCGGCAGTGACATTGCCGGCCCCGCCACCCACTAGTGTTTCAGCTTCGCCAACTCCATATTCGAGGTGGCGCGGACGGAGGCCAACTCTAGCGCGCAACTGTACTTGGTAAGCTCCAATGCCACCAGCCTCTTTTAGGCGCAGACTACGCCCAAGGGAAGCTCCATGCCTGTGGTGAGGAGGTCGCGGGCCTGATGGCGGTTGTCAAGGAACAGCATGTGCAGCATTAAAGCGAGGCGGCCTCGGTACCGAAACCTTTTCATGCTGTGGCCAGCGGTGAGGGGTAGCCGTGTGAGGACGCTTTCCTAGCGGGGGTACCGCTTTAAGCTGCGCAGGCAGAGGTGAGCTTTGCCGCGTAAGTAGAGGCCGTAGTGGTCGTCTCCCCGGAGGTGCTTGCGGAAGAAGTCAGCCCGCTTGCGTCGGACGAGGCCGTAAGGGGTTTGGGTACCCTGTAGGAAGGGGAAGTTGGCAAGCTCGCCGGCTCACTAGAGCCGCATCAGGCGTTATTTAGCGGCCATCTTCAAACGCTTCGGGTCCTTAACCTTGTGGAGGAATTGCAACCTCTCGCGCCCGGTCAGCCACTATGGTCGCTGAAATTGGCCCAGGTACGGCTACACCGGTCCCCTTTAAAACTCGGGCTCCATCAATTGGAGGAACCACGCCTTGAGCGTAAAGAGGCCGAAGTCCTTGTCTAGCCGGAGGGCTTCCGCAGCTTCCTGGAGCCAGTGGACGCGCAGCACAAACCTAAGTAGGAGGCTCTTCTACTACTATAGCAGCTCCATCTCGTGGTGGCTCTACAGGTGGTCTAGCACCTTGTTGAGCAAGTGGTAGGCGACTTTCCGGCGGCCGCGCAATGCGTCGGGCTTGACGTACTGGTCTTTGAGCTTGACGGGCATGGCCCAGGCCTTGCTGCAAAAGGTGAGCAGCGGGAACGCCTATGCCTGTAACATCATCGGGGTCGCGTACAGGTCGCAGCACTTTTGGAAGCGGCGAAAGTTGGCCAGCTCGTCGAGCAAGCTATTCCCTTAGCCCATGCTCAGGCCGGCCCACTATCGCAAGTCGCGGGCCTTTAGCTGCTGCTCGGCCTCAGGGCGACAAAAGAAGAAATGCTTCTTGTGGCCGCGAGGCGTGCCACGTGAGCTCCCCGCTTATATGGGAAACCGGTTCAAGAGTAGCTACTTGAGAAAGTCCCGGGCGTCGAGCAGCTGGCTCTCGACCATTTCGAACGGCTGGAAACCTTCGCCGCGGAGGCCCAGCTCCAGGTGGCGCTCTAGCACGAACCACACCCGGCCGTCGGCGAGGCTTGCACTAAACGACTTCTGCAGGTCCATTAGCACCTTGTGGCGGCCATGGTAGAGGAGGCGGCAGAATTGACCACGTAGGCGGTTTGCGAGGGCTAGGGAGAGGCGATTGGCGACACTTTGGCATCAGGGGCGGCGCGGGAAGTAGTGTAGAAGTAGAGGTAGGAGGAGTATGCGCTCATGGGCCGCTGGGACCCGGCAGGCCTGTCTAGCGCGTAGGGGGGAGACAAGCTTCTTGTAGGGCGTCGGCCGCTGGCCGAGGGGCTGCTGGGAGGGTAGCGACCAAGGGCCGCAGGCGCTGCGATCGAGGAGGCGGAGGAGTTAGTAGAGCCAGTCGCGCCGGACACGCTGCGCCTAGCGCAGCCGGGCGACGAGGGATTACTCTGAACACATGCGCCAGAAAAAGGAGAAATCTGGCCTTACCCTGAGACGTTGGAAGCACCCCCATGGCACACCGACTCTCAACCACACTGCAGGCTTACGGCTGACGCCACATGCCAAGGCCCCACAGAAAACACCCAAGCGATCCTCGCGCTGAGCAAGGCGTAGAAAACGACTGTACCCTCGTCGGAGCCGTGGTTCGCTTCGTCGCGCCTGACGAGCGAATCGGAGGGCGGCTCGCTTGCGTTCTCGCGCAACCAAGCCGCCCGTGGCTCCCAGCGGCATGCCCTGCAATCGTGCTCGGCGGCAGAAAAGCCCCCCGCCGGCCGTGAGCCAGCACGTCGCCGCCCTACCCTTCAGCTACCACTTCACGAGGGTCAACTAGAGCCCTAACACGAACGCATTGGTCAAGTACGGCTTCTACTACAACAGCAGCGGCTACAGACGATGCTCGTCCCGCTCCAGAAGCCTCACTAGCAGATACCTTTGCGCCTCCCATTGGAGCGCCCACTACTCGGGCCTACTCTGCAGCCTCAACAGCTACCACTCGTACGCATGACCGAAGGCGTTCCCATGGCAGCCCTCCAACAAACTTTGCTGCTTAGCCCTTAAATAATTACTTTACAACCGTGGGCTCAGGTTGTATCGGGAACATAGTTAAAAACAGCGCCCCCAGACATGCACATAGCACTACCCCTAAAGCTTACTTCACAAAAGCCTCGCTCCCCGTTCGATCGGCCGGTCAGGGGCTATTCCGCATCGGACGATCTTATATCTTACTGGAAAACTTCTCGTTCTCGTTCTTTAGATTTATTCTCTTCGTTACTAGGTATGCAGTATGTTTTCCGTTTCTTATGTTCACAATATAACTTCGTTACTAGACTACTTTCGTCGCTGCATTGCAGATCGCCGACAGGGTCTTACAAGCATGGCGGACAGCATGGCGAGAGCTCCGGATCAGTTACGCCTCATGTCGGACACATGTTAGATAGTTCTTGATTCATTTACAGTACTTAAGCGACCTTATGTCACACCCACAATAAAACTTACCTTCCTACCTTCCCCTCTGTGTGTGTGCGCTTCGTATCTAAGTCTCCGAGTTTCCGGTTCCATCCCTATCGCTTTGTGTGTGTTGTGTTTCGCTTCGTATCGCTTTGCTTCGTATCACTTCGATCCCCATCCCATTCCTATCCGCCGCCATTCACTTTCCGTACCGCATCATTCCGCACCTGTATCACATTTTACCGGACCTGTACCGTACCCTACCGGACCCGTACCGCACCCTACCGCATTCCTTCCGCATACATTCGCTTACCCACCGCTTTCCTACCTAATCGTTTCGGACCTGTACCATAGTTTATCGGTTTCCTATTGCATCCCTTCGCATCCCTTCCGCATCCCTTCGCTTATATTCCGCACCCCATTCCTTACCGATCCCATCCCATCCCCAGGTCTCAAGCAACACCCCTCAACACCTCGCACTAATCGAGTGGTCAAGCCTGTCCCCTTCATTGGACGTAGCTGCCAACCACTATGAGCACTTACACCGGACTTATTGATGGGGAAGCTTCTGGGGGTCTGAATATAGATACACTACCACGGGCTGCCTGAGCCCTCTATCAACGGTTCACTGGTGTAAATGGTTATCACATCAGTCTAACAGTTCACCAGCTTCATCTCTTTTATACCTACTGTAATGACCCCCCAAAGAATTACATAAATCTTCAAACCTTGCTCACACAATAACATGAGATATATTTGCAGGGCAGTAAGATTCTGCATGCACTTTTGCTGGCCTCATGCACAAATTTGATGAAGCTGATAAGATTGCATCAGATGACCAGCCTGCCAAGAAAAAATTCAGTGCAGGAAAATTCAGATAAAAAAATTCCTTGGAAGAGAATTACCACTTGTGCTCCAAGAATTTCAGTTGGTGAATGTTCAGCCTACAAAAAAATGTCAGATGTGTCACTGAGTATGTGTGCTAGACGACACATGGATGCAGCACTCACAGTGCTTCCAGACTGTAAAAAAAATGTGATTGTTAATGAGAGAGCACTCTAGTCAACAATGTGGCACCCACAGAAATTTGGGCCTGTAAAAAATTGTGTGAGCTTTGATGGGAGGAGTCTGCAATCAAAGCTGCAGCACTCACAGAAATTTGGGCCTCTAAAAAATTGTCCTGTAAAAAGAAAATAGTGAGAACAGAGACTGAATTTGAATCTAATCTATGTATCATTAGGTAAGCAGTTTATTAATCAGCACTTGAGTGGTGAAAGTGAGAAAGATGGAGAAGGTGCACAGCCATCAGATGCTGATATAGGTGCCAGTTGTTTGCACTTGTTTGCACTGCTTACATAAGCAGTCTAGGCCATGTGGTTTCCAGGGTGCTGGTTGTTTGTGCAGGGTGAGTGCTCACCACAATTTACAAGTCAGACATTTGGTGCTATCCTGAGACTGTTATCTTGGGAGGCGTTGGTTGATGTGTTAAGCTCCCAGATGTGTGCTCTCACATCATGTAGATCCTTGGGAGACAGCTCTCAACGGTTCGCTGGTGTAAATGGTTATCACGTCAGTCTAACAGATCTCTTGGGATTAATTCTTGAGACTGTGCACTGAAGGTACTCGGATCGATCCCGGGGCGAATCATTCTTTTATTACGCTGTGGGAGGATGCAGAGCATATCCTGAATGAGGGCCCCTGAACATCAATTAATTTTTTATAAAGCATTTTTGAAGTCTTGTTAAGCATTGTTTCTCAGCTAATCATATTTATCAGATTATGTTTGGTGTTGGAAGCACTTGCAACATACTGAACACCCCTTGTGCCTGAAGGTACATCAGTAAACTAACAGATTTCTTGTCGGGACTTGTACCGACTTGTGCCGACTTGCACAAGATGGTACAAGTCTCACAAGTCTCACAAGCCACAAGATGGCCAGATCACTCTCAAAACCCACAAGTCTCTGGTCAAAATTTGGCTCACAAGTCGACAAGTTGTGACAAGTCGGACAAGTGTCAAATTTCTTTTGGGCAGATATAATATATTCATTAGGATGCAAGCTCGTACAAGTAGGTATTACTAGGGCATGTACCATGATACTAATCCTTCCGCTCTGTGTGTTTTCTGCTAGAGAATCTAGCAGGTTTCCAGTTTCTTAAGGCTGTTGGCAGGGTTGTGACCACTGGTAGTAGCGCAAACAGTTGGGGCTTCAAGTTAACCGTGGTGAGGTGGTAGGATTGGATTAGCTCAAAACCCAACCAGACTGTATATGTATGGAGTTTTGCAAAATGATATGAATTTATGGAAAGCACCATGATGCAAAATGTGCTGTAAGATCATTCAAAAAATGACCCTATAGTTCGCCATTTTGCATCAAGTGGGGCCTTAGATATATTGGTGAAAACTTGTAAATAGCATAACAGATCCACTCTAATAGAGCATATTTGCAACCGGCTTTTGGCCGGCTCCAACAAAAATCTGTGGTTAAGCGCCAAAAATTTGATACTTCCAAAACAGGCTGAACGTGCTGTGGCACAATATGTTCATGATTGGTTCACGACATGATAACCACTTTGCCCTGCATCTCTTCATTTTATTTTGATCATAATAGGGGATAATATATGGCTGAAGAGCTTCCCGCTAGCTAATTAGTGATATATAGGTGAGTAGAGTGCAAGATGCGAACAGACGTGAACATCTATGGACTCACAGGATCAATAAATTACATTAGTCACAGTCCAAATGTGTCCGCAACAAGAAAGTGGCTGGCTCCAAGGAAATTTTGACACTGGTTGCAAATACTGGACATGATGACCAATTACATCGGAAGCCCTTGTCCCGTACCCAGCTGTGTGGTTGAATCAGTTTGTAAGATTAATCATGGGACCGGTGGACATGATAACCAATTACACCGGAAGAATGTAAATTAAAATGCAGGTTCGAATTCCCTCCGAGAATTGTGGCTGAGGGAACACGCTACATGTGATCGCACGCGTGGTGTGGTGAGAATCAACCGTGCACGAAACTGTCAACCAACTTCTTCTCACCCGCCGGCAACATTTCTTCAAGCCCACTTTGGTTCTCTCGCGCACCCACTCTGGGTCTCTCAGGCCTTCGCCGACAACCATGTCTACCTGGGGTATAGGAGCCAATGACGTCTCTCAACAAACACAGGCGCTCAAGGATGCTGCATCCAGCAAAGGTACGTCAACCGATCCCAATGTTTGGGGATATACTCAGCACCACTCGATTATCAGAATCCGAGAACGCAGACCTTCGCAGCACGCTCATGAAGCGGGATGCAGAACTAGGCGAATTGAAAGCAACTTGGAACGAGGCTCTTCGAAAGGTGCGCAATGTGCAACAATGTTGCGCGCGCAGTACTTAATCATCAATCGTTAGCTCTCGCACGAAGCAGATCGTGCATTGAATCTCGAATCAGAACTCTCAAAGGCCTATCAGGATCTCGCATATCACAAAGTTGCGTCGCAGAACGCCGAAAAGTCGCTCTTAACCGCCAACGCCAAACTACGCGAATCAGAACTTGCCGAGCGCGAACTGCAAAGCCATCTCGAGGTCTTGAGCAACCGCCACGACACAGCCAAAGAAGGAAACAGCAAGCTGGAGAAGGAGAAGAAGGCACTGGAGGCCCGAGTAGGCGAGCTGGACACCGAGGTCAGACGGCTCACGGTCCCGACATCCGCCATTCCCAGGAAGGGGCGCGCCAGATCATCTTCGGTATCTAATGGAAATGGTAAGAACAACAACGCATTCGAACAGGAACTCAGCGATACCCGTGCGCTGCTCACTGCCAAGGAGAGCAATCTGCGATCAGCCAGTGACAAGCTAGCGCGTGTCCAAACCGACCTTGTGCAAGCTCAGAATGAACATCTCGCAACGGAGAAGAGGTTCAAGAGGCAGGTTGGCGAGCTTGAGGCGTCTTTAGAGGAGAAGGAGGACGAACTCGCGATGCTTAGGGCGGAGCAAGGAGATGGAGGGCGTGAGCGTGAAGAAGAGCTGATGAAGCGTGTGGAAGAAGACGAGGCAAAGATTTTGGCATTGGAACGGCTCGCTGGCGACGGTCAAAAGATGGCGTCAGTCAGGGCTACATTGGACAGGACGGAGAAGCTGTTGAAGGCGGAAATCAAGAGAGTTGAAGCCGCGGAAAAGAGATGCATGGAAGTTGTGCAAGAGAGGGAAGAAATCCTTGACGAATTAGCAACGGTACAGACAGCTTTGCAAAAGAAGGAGCAAGATATCACGGCTCTTATTAGTCAAGACAAGTGCGCATATATCCACTTCAATCACATTTTTAAGCTGACTTGAATGTCCCAGGAAACTGCAAACGCAACTCATTACATTACAAGCCGAGCTCGCCGCAGCGCGTCACTCCCTCAACTCCGCTGTGCAATCCGACCCTTCGGGCGAATCCACCTCCATGCCACAGCGAATGGATGATGCGCCAGCCGATGCCAACGCTGCAGAGTATCTTGCGACCCTTCTTGGTGCCATCGACCGGTTGCGCGCGGAGAGGGATGGTTTGAGGCGCGACTTGAACTTCTTGGAAGCCGAACACAAGTTTGCCGTTCAATCACTCGACGCGAAATCGCCGGTTGTGGCTGCTCCGTCAGAACGGGCGCATGATGAGCGCCTCGCCGCGATGGTCACGGCCTCCGCGGTCGTTGCTCAGCACATGCAAGCACAGTTCGAGGACACGCATAGCCAATGTGGTATTCTGACAGCTCGCCTGGCAGATGCAACGGCAGCCTACGAGAGCAAGAACAGTGCATCCAAGCATCTGGAAGCCAAGATTGAGGACCTCCAAACAGCTTCCGTCCTTCATTCCGAGCTGGAATCTGAGCTGCAGAAGAAGATCGAGTGTTCTACAGAAGAAGCCAAGCAATCGAAGAGAGATCACCGCGATGCCCAAGAGGCATTGGCGCAAGCCAACGTCCAACTTTCGGACCTGGCCAAGGCTATGGAAATTGTCGAGTCGCAGCGCGACTCCCTCAACGTCCAACTCGCAAACCTCCAGACAGACCTGAGCGAGAAGGAGGGCGAGCTCGGTGCCGCGCAGGCGCGGTACAGCACCCTGCAAGCGCACCAGCTCTCCGCTATGCCATCCACCGACGTTTCACGATCGCTGAGGCAGCAAATCGAGGAGCTCGAGGGCCGCGTTCTGCGGAGAACAGAACTGATTGGGATTCTCCAACATGACGTCAAGAGGCTCGATACGAACTTGCGGTTGCAGGAAGAGCGGCTGGGGGAGATGACGGGTGAGATGGAGACGCTTGGCGCGCAGAAGGACGCGATGGTGGAGGACTGTGCAGATACTAGAAAAGCTAGAGATGGGGCCATTGAGAGGTGCGAGTGTCTGGAGATGGAGGTCGAAGCCTTGGAAGGAAGACTGGAAGCAGCAGAAGCAGAGAGGTTGCTGGAGGCTTCAACACTGACCGCAACAATTGCTGAGACAATGGGGCAGCTCAAAGCCTCTGCCGATGAGGCCTGTCGTCTTGTGGAAGAGAAACACCAAACGGACCAGCATCTGGCCGCCGCTCGAGCGCGCCTGGTGGATCAAACCGCATTGGCCAGTGCAAACCAAGAAGAGAACGCGATGCTCTGTGAGCGCGTACACACACTCGAAGACGATATTGCCAGACAGCTCGCCACTTCAGGACAGCTGGAGCAGCAGTGCAGCGATCTTCGGACCCAGCTGGATGCCTCTGCAGCGGCCGCTGGCGACAGCTCACAAGTGCATCACGCTCTAGCACTCGTAAAGGCTGAACTCGATGTGAAATCAACGGCGCTGTCCATTTCCAGCGCGGCGAAGGATGAGTTGGCAGATGAACTTCATTCACTGCGCACCCACGCCGAACAGCAGACAACTATTATAAAGCAACTCGATCAGCAAGTACAGGGACTTCGGGATGAGGCCGAAACGAAGGCAGTCGAGCTGCAAGAGCATGCGGCTCAGACACAACAGGCTATCCTGGCGCTCGCTCTGCTACAGGCTCCACTCAAGAAGCATTCCGCGTTATTCAACGCATCTAACGGACGGGAAAGGCAGCTTCAGCAAGAACTATCTGCATTGCGCGAAGATCTCGCTGGAAGAGTTGCCAATGCGCTGCGCTTGGAAGAAAGTCTAAATGACCTTCAGCAAGAGTTCAGCGTGGCCAAAGTTGCACATGCGAGTGCGTCGACAGACGCCTGCCAGACGGCCGTGGCCCTCGCGGCTGCTCATCAGGGTCTCACAGCAGCATCTGCTTCGGCCGGCCTTGCCAAAGAAGCTGAAGCGGACCTCTTGGATCGTGTTCATGCGGCAGAGGATGAGCTCAAGACGAAAGCAGCCGATGCCAAGCGTCTTGAACAGCAATTATCAGATCTTCGGGAACGTTCCAACGCCAATGCGGTCGCCGAGTCTGGGTCAATCGACCAACTTCGTGCTCAACACCTGGAGGAGACGAATGCCCTTCAGAAAACCCTCGGTGATGTCTCATTAGAGCTCGAGCAAGCCAATCAACTTCATTCAGAAGTGGAGACCGGTCTGCGCGAGTCGATTGAACAGGCCAGGCGATCCAAGGAAGAGCTTGAAGAGCGCCTAGCTACTGTTTTGAAACAAACAAAGGCTGACGGCGAACTCGAGAGCG